TTTATACCTTTCCCAAACACGGGGGCTTGAAGAGAAGTTTAAAAAAAAAAAAAAAAAAAAAAAAAAAAAAACGTGAATTCACTGCAGTTGGATGTTTTTCAGATGAGTTTTCTGGAACTGACCAGTGCAGGTGGTTGAATGTTTTTTTTTTTTTTTTTTTTTTTTTTTTTTCGACTCGGAAATTACAGAGCAGGAATAAAGGGAACACCTGAAACCTTTTTGACCTACCAGGATGTCGGCTTTCATGAAGAGCAGAAAAACTAAACCCTCGACTGACTCCATCTATGACGCGTTCCAGGTGGTGAGCATTGCAGTGCACGACAAGTTGTGTGTTTGATGCCTTGTGATGTGGAGTTGAGCTCACATAGGTCAGTGATTATGCAATGGTGGTGTACCCATACCGATGAGATTATTCTCAGGGTATGTTTCCTCTGGACCCTGTCATCCAAATCCATACATCCACCTCACATTGTGCATGCTCACGTATCCCAGCAGCTTTAGGGGTTGGGAGCAACGATCTATCTTCTCATCTAAATGATTTAGATGTTACTCGTAGTGTGGGATTATCATTCTGTTGATGCTTTAGCAAAATCAAAAACAACATTTCACATTTCTCACTATTATTGAACAAATATTCATATTTATTTTGTTATATGTTTTAATTCAGGTTGCAGAATGCAAAATAACAGTGGTACTTCTGTAAAGCATCATGCTGCTTTTTTTCATTCATTCATCTGTCTTTCAATCGGTTATTTGTCACCAATTTGCCTGGTTGAAATTTATGAGATCTTGTTTATAAGTCACAGGAGCGTTAGGTTAGAAGTATACATGAGAAAATGACACCATAGTTCAGTGATTTTTTTTTATTATTTTGCTCATTCCACAGACATACTGGCAGACATACAACATTATAAGGGTATAACATAATAAATTATCAGTTATATTGCTGTTGATTGTCCTCGCATAAACATAACATTTTTTGCCTGAACGTTTATTGATTAACACATTTCTATTTGAGATCATCTCAATTGAAATGGTCTTCAGTGCATTTGCTCCCTTAAAGATGGCCATCGTGACTCCATGAAAAAAGATTCACAGCATCATGTTGCAAAGCTGCTTTGAATACCACGATGGAAAATTGTGCTGTCACTGCCGCAGCCTTACAGGAGACAAGCCGTGTTATCTGTCAAGACGGAACCTGTCTCAGCTGTCTCCAATTAAGTCAGTCAAAAAAAAATAAAATAAATAAAAATAAAAAAAATAAAACAAGAAGGGTGCTTATCAAAAAACAACAGAAGTGCATGATGTCACACAAAATAGAGGTATTTTTTATGTTGATTATAACAAACTAAGTGGGGGCATCGATTGTTAGCCTCTGCGTCTGTGCAACTTCACATGGTCTCTTTTACATGTCTTTATTTTTATTTTGGAAAGACAGTAACTGTACTAATGTGAAAAACTTCTCTTTATTATGTACTTAAAATACACCAATATGCGTACATATGGGATAAAAATAAATTAACTTGACTTTCTTTAATGACTTTGCCTCAAATGTAAAGCCTATCAGAATCAAGTTTTGACCCATATAACGTGATGGGAAGAAGCTTACTTTTGTTTTTCTCCAACACACCTGAATCACATGAATGGCTCATTACCAGATCTTTGCCAAACTTAGTCCCATAGGGGTTATTCAATCATTTGATTCAGCTGAGTTGGAGCTGATGCTAAATGCTGCAGGGGACTAGCTCTGGAAGATTGGAGTGGGAGATTCCTGATTTAAAGTGAATCTGGTCAGTAAAGTTTAATTGAAAGTTTACTCACAGAGGTTTACTGTAGGGGTCTAGTAATTAAAATGTGGAAATATGTCCTTAATTTGTCTGTGTAGGATAAAGTCCTTCCAATAGCCATTGAGCAATGTAGTGAGGTTAACAGTAATCAGTAGTATAAATTATAGTAATCAAATTCTTAGGTTGAGGGATTCTAAACTGTGAACAGATAGGAGAGGCAAAATTAGCCTGCAGCCATTAAGTAGCTCTTGCCTTAATGTTTACTTGAATCAAGCCTGACTGTCTGTGGTCAGAACATTTTTCAGACACACCTCAGACATTCCTTAGGTCACACATTTGCTTATTAAAGAAATGTTCTTGCTAAAGTGTCTGTACAGCTTGAACTTTTGCACATTAGCCATGATCTAATCAGAAACTTGAAAGTAGTTTGAGGTTTTATGCGATTCATCAGTTCATAGCAGTACATAATTCAAAAATCAACAAGGATTAGTGACTTTTAAACCTTTTTTTTAAACGATTGCCTTTTATTTTATTCTGTACTTTTATTCTCCAGCTGTTGTACAAGATAACAAATGCCATCATGAAGACCAAGAAACGGAACAAATATAATGGATAAGGTTGTGAAAAAGTTTAATGCAGAGTTTCATTCTAAAATCATCTCAAGCTTTGGCACAACTTCAGACCTACCTGAAACATAGGTTTCCTTAAAAATGACAGGCAGAATAAGGAGAGCAATAATCAAAGAATCAAACAAAAAAGAATCCAATGCTAACTTTGGAGAAGCTGCAGTGATTGTGTTCACAAAACCCGTTTGCCTTGCTCTCCACAAATCAGATTTTTTTGGAAGGCTGTCGGGATGGAAGTCAATCTTAAACTCATTTTACATTTTGGCTCAAATAATGTAGAGGCCAACATGCAACTGCAGGTGGACACTGCACATTACCATGACCACTAAATGCTGAGACTGAAATATGGTGGTGGCAGAATCATGCTGGGTATGCCTTTCCTTAGCCTGGACAAGAAAGCTGCTTGGTTGTAAGCTGGAAAGGTTTATCAAAACAGAATGACCCAACCAAAGTCCAGAGCAAAAGCCAATTAGGAATCTATGTTGGGATTTTAAATTTCATGTTCACAGAACCTCTCCATCTAATCTGACTGAGCTTAAGTGATTTTGCATAGAACACAAAATTGTTTCCATATATGCAAAGTTGATTGAGACATAACCCACAAGGGATGCCGCTGCGATCGCACACAAGTGGTTCTACAAAGTATTGAGTCAGAGGAGCTGGACACAAAAGTACTCCGAAGCAAGGAGCAAAGGTGTCATACCACACAATTATACCCCATCTATCACGTCAAATCCTAATAAATTAAACTGAAGTGTATCGTTGTAAAAAATAATGTGAATGTTCACAAAAACCTTCCAAAGACGTTTTAGTTGTTCATAATCCAGTTTTACAAATGAGGTGAGGCAATTCTGACATTAGTCTAAAGGAATGTCTGGTTTCCTCATTTCCCATCACAGAGCACAGAGCAAGTCGCTGCTTTCTGCCACAGTCTCCATGACATGAATCCTCTGGAGTGCCCAATGTCATCCTCCTCATCATCGTCTTCGTCGTCCCTGTCACCGAGCCCCGTGTCAGCTTTGGCGCCTGCTGCCGGTACTGCCGCCCAGAGACAGCTTTCCCATGCAGACAAACTGCGCAAGGTCATCAGTGAATTGGTGGAGACGGAGAAGACGTATGTCAAGGCGAGTTCCGTTTTAATTTAATTTTAAGTAGACTTCCTAAACCTGTCGGGCATTTCAAACGTGTCGGTTATATGTCATAATTACCAACATACCAGTGTTGCGTTAAGAACCCTTGGAGCTGACTCATTGCCCACAATACTTGGCGTTGAATCACAAAAACATCTTCTGCACAATTTGACGGATCTTGTTTTTCATCTTTTTCAGGACCTGCGGTGTCTCATAGAGTACTACTTGAAACCTTTACAGAAAGAGAGTTTCCTAACACAGGATGAGGTACTGTCATGCTGCTTATTTATACCAAGAATAACGATACTCCACACTTGCGTTTGGATACTATATGTGAATTCTCAGATTTATTATAGAATAATGGATTGAAGTGATATAAGCAAAAAGGAAGTTTCTTTATTTGCCATTTGCAAGTTGGTAGTTTGTCTGTACATGGAGGAAGTGAGGATGTATGTAGACTCTGTAGTTAATGTGGAACTGAAAGTAGAGCCTGGGAATATTTATGGATACACAAATCAGAACCAGACGTATTGAATTAGCAATGAACAAAAGTCATTTTAGAACATTAATGATTTGTTGGATGTCATGAGCAGAAAGGGATTTTGTGTAAAGATTACACAGGATAACAGTTTGAGGTTTTGACATGTCTGTGTGAAAGTATTGAAGTTAAATTTGTGTGAAAGGATGTGAAGCAGGTCATGTGACAAATTCAAAACCAGTCTACAAGACTGTTTATACACATGCATATTTTTTTTTTTTTCTGGCACAGAGGGAGCTGTAAATATTAGTTGACAGCCATTAAGCTTCACTATGTACGACAGTACTAACATAATTCTCATTCTGTTTTGTAGCTGGATGTCTTATTTGGTAATCTTGAAGAGATGGTGGAATTCCAGTTGGAGTTTTTGCGAACACTTGAAGATGGAATCAGACTGTTGCCTGATCTGGAAAGATTGGAGAGAGTGGACCAGTTTAAGGTGAACAGTTTTTCTCTAAACCTCAGAATCATTTTGATTTTATTTTATTTTTTTGAGGTCTAGTTATTTCTGCCGTTTCACAATGTTTTCCTTAAACAAACAACAACAAAAAAAAACTTGCAGTGGATCATTTGTGGTATTGCACAAATTTTGCACTCAGAAGAAAATTCACTGTGGCTCATGGGTACTATGATGATGGGTTGAGCTATTGTCTTGGTAAAAAGATACTTGGGGCTTAAACACAGATCCCAGACTTGAAAAAAAAAAACATAAGTTGAGTATAAGAGCTTCACATTTACTTGCCAGTGCGAACAAAAATTTAACAAACGCAGTCTGAACAGGTTGATTAAGGTTGTTTTGAATAAAGATCCACTGTTTTGAACCCTAGGAAATATTTCCCATTTTAAGAAACAAGCTTTATTTGAAAAAACCTCTCTAATTCATATAAGGATTCATTTTGGCTAGATCATATAATCCATCTGGCAAGCAGAAGTAGGCATGAAAAGAAAGAGTCTGGAAATAAAAGGTTAAAATAGAGTTGTATGTGGATACTGGGTCAGACGATATTTTATACCCAAATCAATACAAATATGAATCATTTTTATTAATGTATTATGTTTTTTGTTTCTCTCTACAGAAGGTGCTTTTCTCTTTGGGTGGGTCATTCCTTTATTATGCTGATCGGTTCAAGCTCTACAGTGCGTTTTGTGCCAGCCACACAAAGGTCCCGAAGGTCCTGGCGAAAGGTAAAAATGCAGATATTTGTTCTTGGTGGCAAGTGCACAATTAACCTAATGACTGCAGCTCTTTAGACCTTCTTTAAATTTGCAGTGACTTGTAACTTTATAAACAGCATCTTTATTTTTTCAGCCAAAACTGACCCAGAGTTCAAAGCCTTCCTGGCTGAGAGAAATCCCAGACAGCAACATTCATCCACTCTGGAGTCTTACCTGATCAAACCCATCCAGAGAGTCCTGAAGTATCCACTCCTACTCAGGGAGCTCTACTCTCTCACTCACCCAGACAGTGAAGAACACTACCATCTGGATGGTAAAGCAGTGCTTTTATTCATCTATTTTTTCCTCTACATCTATTGGCACTCTGAAATGGTTTCAGCATTAGCTATGCCAATCACTGTTTGGAGCAGTAATTGATTAAGTCATAGCTAATCGACTGTTGTCTCATCCAGTCGCAATGAAGGCCATGAACAAAGTTGCAAGTCACATCAATGAGATGCAAAAGCTTCATGAGGAGTACGGGGCAGTTTTTGATCAGCTCATCAATGAGCAGACGGCGGATAACAAACAGGTAACTCATTTTATTCCAGATCACTGAACTGAAATTTTATCAAATGTCAAAACAGAAAAAGAAAAAAAATTGTTTATTTATTTTTGTATTTTTTACATTCCAATAAAGGTGCTTGATCTCTCAATGGGCGACCTTCTGCTGCACTCAACAGTGGCATGGATGAATCCTCCAGCCACTTTTGGCAAAAGCAAAAAGGACCCAGAATTATCTGCTTTTGGTAATACTGTCATTCTAAATTTACATTATATAACATTCTTTCCATACCATAAAGAGAAAAACGATCTAACTAGTGCACAAGACAAAGTAAAAAATGCACACGCAGAGAGTCACTGCTTTATTTCACCTTTTTCCCTGCACTAAATTGCTAACATGTTATGTTCACCCAGGACCAAAGTGCACAGATATAATCAAAATATAAAAAGTTCACTCAGCTGACATGTTTTCCTTGCAATAAATATTAGATATGAAAACTTGAATGGCTTTCTTTGCCAAGTGTTGGTGAGCAGAGGTGGCAGCTTTTAGCATTCAATGTTGACATGATGGATTTTTCTGATCACATTTTAACTAAATATTGTAATTTTAATCTTTGGCTGCCATCAAAGATGTTCTTTAGCATCCTATAAGTTGAATTTTGACTAAAATAAAACGGGTAATGAAATGCGCTTTGATTTATGTCATAACCTTTATCTCTCTGTTCCTGTTTTAGTGTTCAAAACTGCTGTTGTTTTTGTCTACAAAAACTCCTCCAAGCACCGGAAAAAAATTGTAAGTACACTTAACACTTTTCTGTGCATTGGTTTTAATTTGAAGAAATGGATTGAAAAGACAAACTCATTAGATGGAAATTGATGATACTTTTTTGATCAATTTATCCCATTGTTTTAAGTAAATTATTCCACTTGTTCTTAGAGGGCTGCCAAGCCGCACAGAGAGAAGATGTTGAATGGATCAATTTTTAAGAAGCCTCGACTTGCAGTCTTGCAATTACCTGAAAGTATTTTTAATAAGAAAAAAATTAAAACTTTGTTTATACAGCTATGAATATAAAATAAATGTACAAATATGCCTCAAAACTGGAAATACAGAAAGTGGCCTACTTTTACCAGTAACTAAAATATGGCCAATTAATTTTTAATGATTTACAACTAGGAAACAAATGACTTGGCTCTTTTTTTTTTCAAAGGTATAAAGCTATGCAAAATGTTGTGTATATACAAATTTAAAGATGGATGTAAAACTAGAATTATTTAAATCCTATAAGGCTCTAACACCATAGTGAACCACTCACTCTTTGAACTTTATTTATTCTTTTTTTTTTTTTTGTTGGGAGACTAACCACTTCAGCAATTTTTGTGCTTATTCAGCCATTTGAATATGAAAACATTCAGAACTTGTAAGACTGGTTATGACTTCTGCTACTTATACCCTTTATGAATATTTTACTTTAAAAACCACTTAAGTCCAACAGAGTGAATAGAGTAACCGTTCAAATCAAATAACCTCGTTTGAAGGTTCATTGTGTCTCTTTACTATCGGCCAGAAATATCATCCATATTTTAGTGGGTCACAAGACATTGGGCCATTACCAAATCCTTCTTGCTTTTCATTTATAGGTTTTATACGTCACTGTTAAAGTTTTACGTTGTCAACCAAATTGTCAGTTTTCCCCCCAAGGCTGATGGCATCACCTGCCACACTTATCCGCTGACTATTCACTGTTCAAAATGCAAACAAGTTCCTCCTGTTGCTCTAGCAATTCATCATCAACAAGTTAAAACAGGAAGATTTATCCAATTTTTCATTTGTGGCTTTCAGATACCAATTTCTCTTGGAATCTGAACTATACATGTACTTGTATAGTGCTTTGTCAAGTCCACAGGACCCCCAAAGTGCTCAGTCACTCATTCACACGCTGATGGTGGCAAGTTACTGGGTGATACTCACAACTGCCTTGTGACGCACATCTCAAGAAAAGCCCATGTACTTCATTGAAAAATCTGCTGACTCAGCTTCTGTGGTGGAAGGTTTTTTTGACCTAAATGAGCAGGGAGCACATGGATCATACAGGGACTTTATTCCTCTTTATCAACAAAGGTTCCTTCACTCTTCTTATGGTACTGAAGAGAAATTCAATCCACACAAGAAAGGTTGACAATGTCACTGACAGTATAGACATTATGGAAAACCTTCAAAGTTTGAAGGTTATGCTAAATTTGATGTACTTTTTTTCAATATTCCTTTTATAGGACCAAGAACAGATTGCTATATTTTAATTGTGTTTTAACACAGAAATTATTTTCTAACATATCAGGAGTTTAATAATGGGCTTTAATATCTAGAAACTAACTGATGTTGCATTTCTTCATGCACTTTTCTTTTCAAGTCCACTTTAAAAGTTATGGCAAACTGCTCAGAACTCAAAACTGTCAACAGGAAAAAAACGTAAAAAAAAAAAAAAAATAGTAGGGACATAACCCCAGTGCAAATATTGCTTGAATATGCTATTTCCTTAAAAAACAAAGAGGAAATGATCTTGTCTGACCAGTTTCACCCTCGGCACTCTTTTTCATAAAAACCTTTACAGTTACTGTATTGACAAAAAGGGGGAAAAGCTTGCTTAATATATGCACATTATTCCAAGTTCTATTTATTTTAAAGAAAAAAAAAATACAGTATGGCAATAAAGTTTGTCAAGCAAAACCTATTTTGTCTTTTAGTTTTAATGTGTTATTGGTTCACTGGATATGTGCAAAACAGGCTATTAATGCAGGATGCAACAATAAAACTGCATTCTGCAGTTTTACTTAATAAAACTGGAGGCCATAAAAGCAAGATCAGTGGTGCTGAAGGTTGCTGGCGGGCCTGTTTGTTGGTGCATTCTGAAATAAGATTAACCTTAATGTCTTCCAACAACCATGAGTTGGTTTTGTGTATACTTACTGTTGTCTGAACCTGATGCCTCACAGTAGCTGTTAAATTTCATGTGGTGTTGGACTTTTCCGCCACCTGCTGTCACGTTGATGTACTGCAGGCATGTTTCACGTGCGTTTTGTTTCTTTCAGGGAGGATCTCATCGTGCGACTGTGAGCGAGGACAGGGATCATTTCCGCTTCCGATACATGGTTGCAACAGACTCCCTGCAAGTCCGGGCCCCTGCAAGTAGGTCTAACTGATTTTTCCATAAGTATTTATTCCTGAAAGGCAACTTTTAACTTTTCTCATGGCATGCCAAATAACAAACGATGAATGGTTAAAAAAAATGGTTTTTCATTAATGCAATTTTTAACATCCCTATTCCAGAACAAACTTGCAGTCCCACCAGAAGTAATGTTTTTATTCAAAATCATACAGCTAACAAGATTTTTTACAGTCCTATTCTCCATTTAACTGCATCTGTAGCAAATATCGAACCTCAATGAGCGATTCTTGAAATTATAAACCCGCCCGCATCTTTTCTTTTCAGGCTCTGATGCCACAGCAGTATGTGAACTAGTCCACATAAGGTCTGAATCTGAAGGAAGACCAGAAAGAATCTTTCAGCTGTGCTGCAGGTATTTTTTTTAAAAGGAAGAAAATGCATTAAACGCATGTATTGGACGTAAGTAAAATAATTTCAAGTTCATGTGTTTCTTGTATGATTCTAGTTCTCCAGAGAGCAAAAAAGACTTCTTGAAAGCAGTCCAGTCTATTCTTAGAGAGAAGCAACGGCGACATATTCTCAAGACAAAATCTATGCCGCTCAACCAGAAATATGTCCCGTTTGGTGGCAAACGCCTGAGCGCCCTCAAAGGTGCACGACCTGCCATGAACAGAGCAGGTAAGTTTACATAAAGTTCTTATTACAACTTTCAATACTTTAGACGACATTATGTTTTTATTTTCTCCTCTTTTTGTGTCTGCGTCTAGCATCTGCCCCATCACGAACTCTGAGTCGCCGAAACCTCTTGAAGAACCACATTATCATTGATGCTGACCAGGTTTTCCACGGCACCAACAACAACAGCACTGATGTTCCCAACATCACCCATCAGCCATCCCGCTCCCCTTCAAACACCCCTCCCTCCAAGCACGAACCTCATCCGTCTCACAAACTTCAGGCAGAGGACACGGACCGTTGGGTGGAGGAGCAGTTCAACCTGAGGCGCTACGAAGACCAGTGCAAAGACATCGACGACAGACAGGTGAAGGAGACGGACATCTTGAGTGACGATGACGAATACTGTAAATCTGTGCGATCCCCGTCGGCCGAACCAGACTCCCTGGAGGCAGGAGTGGGAGGACTGAGCTTGCACAGCAAAGAGGTCAACTTGAATAGAAAGATGGAGTCCAGAAGCGAGATGGAGCAAGGTGTGAAAGTGGACCGAACAAAACAGAGGGATGATTCAGACTCCTTCACATCCTGCAGCCTGTCTGTCTCTTATTCCTCAAAGCTTGCTCCTTTGAAGCAGCAGTGTTCTGTGGAGGGAGCCACTAGCAAGAACCACAACGTGATCTGGGTACGACGGGACGACTTTAATAAAGGGTGCAACAGCGACGTCTTTTGATGGGAGACTACAGAATGAAGAGGAGAGCAAACGGAGGCGTCTTCCACTCAATTCGTTACTGTGCAAAAGTGTTCATTCCCCTTGAATTTTTTTTTTTATCATGGTATTTTATTGGGATTTTGTGATGGATGGCACAAAAAAATGTGCATAATTAAGTGGAAGCAAAAGGATTGTTTTCCTAATTACAATTTTAATTCCGAAAACTGAAAAGACCATTTATATTCTGCCATCTAAAGCCTCTAAATTATTTATTAGCCAAGAAACTGAAGACACATTGTTGCACTGCATTTAATTAGGATTATTAGAGTAAAAGGGTCTATTTAAAAATGCCAAACTCCTCAGATTTTCTTTTTCATCGAATGAATCATTTTTCTTTCACTTCATAATTAAACTCCGCATTTTTCCTGCCACTGAAAATCCCAATGAAATACATGGAAGTGTATGGTCATAGCTTATTGATTATAAAACTGTGAAAATGCTTAAGGGGTATAAAAAGCTTTGCAAGGAGTTGGAAATCAGGATTCCAAGACAATGTAGGGCGAATCAGGTACAAGCTTTAAGAGAAAGTGTACAGCACTGTGATGCTAACCACTCTTTTAACTCCACCCAGTTTGACAATCGTACCATCTTACAACATGCTCTGGTTCCTCTTGTGCCCCTCAGATTCTAATTCAGAACTTCTGTCTGTGAAATTGCAACAGAGATCCCTCACTGTACCCAGGCATTTCACAAACAGCTGGCATTTATCTGAAGATGAAAGCACTGCATGTGCATACATTTCAGATGAGGAGGTGTATGTATTCATACGCTGGAAAGCACATCGTATGTAGACGCAGGCAGCTACTGTCTCGTGACACAACACTGCACAGAAGAGACATCCTCACTTATGACTCATGGACCAAAACATCTATTTTTCAACACAGTAATGTGGGTGTTATATATTTTTCTGACTCGAAAAGCTGTTTGTATTTAGCCCCAAACCAACCCTTTCCCCCCACCAAGGGCTGTGTGTTCTTTCTCTTCAGGGGATTTAGGCTGAATGACTGCTGTATAAAAGATGGTGAGGTCCGGCTAGTTTTTATTGGGCTTTTTTTAAAAAACTGTTTTAACTTAATATCAGCTGCACATCACTGTATAGTTGGAAGTAATAATAGTGCTGATCACCTGTTGTACAAAAAGGTTTTAATGCTCACTTTTTCTCTTGTATGCTTTTTGAAAATGGTTATGAATAGCAATTTTTTCATGTTTATTTAACATTGCCTTTTTGGAAAACTTTACTGTAACTTAATGTTTACAACACATTTATCTGCTCAGTGTTACAAACTTTGTATTTGGTGGCAGAAACAGACTTGACAAAACTCTCTTCTGTGCTCTTCTCATCTTTTCTGTTTTATTGTAAAAAAAAAAAAAAATCCCTCTATTTTGGTAGTTTTTTAGCTCATTAGATCCTACACTGGATCTTGGAGTCCCTTCAAGCTTGATGTCTTTAAAATACAGCCCAACCACTCTAGCCCTGTTTACTTGAATATTATTAGTCCTGAGCTGCAACTTAATTCTCCTTAATCAGATCCAAGCAACCTTTTACATTTAACTTATGAACATCCCGTCACAGCCTGCATCCGCTTCACAATCTTGTGATGCTTCACCTTTCCACCAGGTGGTGCCATTTCATTATCACCACAGCAACGTGCTTAATGTGAGACCTCTGTACAGAACACAAGTACAAGCACTTAACACCGAACTGTGAACACAGAGGCTTAGCTACTCTGGTTGATAGAAATAAGGAAGTGGATTATTTTAAACTTTATGTTCTTGATCTATTTACAAACCTGACATCTCAGCTAACGGCTCACTGGTTCATCACATCTGGGAAAGACTTCTGACTGTGAGGTACAATCACCAGGCCCTGGAGGCAAACTCTGTGAAAAGCCCTTTGACTCTCACCTTTTGAAACTGTTTGTACTTAAAACTGTGGATTTTTATGTGAAAATAAATTTTCTCATTAAACTTATTGGCTGTTTGGACTTTTTTTTTTCTCCATAGTGAGAAAAAAAAAGCATAAAAAGTTTTAAAGGCTTTATGTTCTTGATCTTCTACTGACAACTAATGAAAACTCATTAAAGATTAGAATATTACATGAGCATAATAAAAATGCAAAAGTGCATTCTGAATGAAAGCACCTCTAAAGGCTTTCACAACATATTACAACACATTCTAAATGATTAAGACAAATTGATCACTTACTAAAAAAACGTCACTGCAGGTATTGCTGAAAAGTTTTCTATTTTATGTTACTTGTTCACAAAATCTATTCTAAAAACAGATTCATCAAACATGAATCTGGTGACATTATTTAAAGCAAAAAATAACTCTGACTTCTTTTGAATATTTGGATTTTTTCTCTTTGTGGTTTTTAATCAAATAATCAAGTCACCCCCAGAGTGTTTACTTGTGTTCTCTTTACTGATTCTCCTAACAGCTTGATAATTGTGTCTTTGTGATGTAATCAACTCAAGTCATACAAAAAAATGTTTTCCTTTATTTTGAGGTTGTTTTCTGGATGGGCTTGACTCTTTGCTCGTAAATTTTGATATCCTGCTATATTGTGAAGAAAAGCCACCAGATTGTATATTTAATAACCAAAATGTTTTTGCCAACGTGCTTACAAAGTATTGAATAAAATAAACAGGCACTAGTTTTTTTTTTTCTGACAATTCAGAAAAATGTACATTTCAACAAAACAATTTACTCTGCAAAGAAATTAGTATTTAAATTATACAATAAACATTATTGTCTTTTCAAATGGCATAAAATATGATTTAGGTAAAGATTAAATGCAAAAAAATGCACAGATGCAGACCCATTCAATTAATTTGAACATTACTGAAAACCCATGAGTGAAACAGATTAATTTCACAGGGATGGAGGTTTGAAAGCTTTTATTTCTACAGGTAATGAAAACATTTAAAATTAAAGTATTACATCAGACCTACTAAAAACATTTTTAGTAACAGAAATATGTGCTCAATGAAACACATCTGCTTAAAGGATGTTATTTCCAAAGGTATATTTAAACTTACAAATGAGCCTCATCTGATGCATATTCTAATTTATTGAATATGACTATAAATACTACACAGTGCATCCATATATCAATAGTCTCTACACACTTGTTCTTGCCGGGCCGCCAGGGGATATCTAAAGCAGTTATTAGGTGAGAGAGGGTGAATGCCACTGACAGGTCACCAGTTCATCAGACGACAACACAGAGACACACAGGACAGACAGGCATTTACACTCAAATTCACTCCGAAGGGCAATTTAGAGTCCATTTAACCCAACATGTTGTGGGTCTGTGGGGGTAAATAAAGATAAATTAATATTCCAATAAAAGGATTCACACTGAAATTACCTGAAATAAATATCAGGTAAACGTGTACATTGTTGTTGCTATTCATTGTTTGAATGTTTGTCACACACTGCTTGTCCTGTCCTCAAATGAATCTAAGATCTTAAATTTGAATATATCAAATCAGCTGATTTTTTGTCATACAGGTTTCAAAACATGAACTTACATATTATTGAGCTGGTTTTAAGAAATCCTAAAGAAAATCAAGATTGTATCAAAATCATTAGATTTCAACCGCTTTAGCAGAAATATACATACATACATACATACATACATACATACATACATACATACATACATACATACATACATACATACATACATACATACATACATACATACATGGTTTCTGTTCTCCCCTTCTTTATGGCCACCCTTCACAAAACGATCTGCCAATGTCCCTGCACTTACAAATCAAGTTATATACATAAGCATAAATACACACAAATAGAAATATAGAGATTATATAAAAACATCTGCCAGATAGCAACTGAAGCAAAGAGCAAAGGGAGTGAAGAATCACTATAAAACTGGCTAACTTTCATGCACATAGATCAATCATGTAATTTCTAGAATGAATAGTTCAAACCAATATTGGGCTGCTTGATTACCTGATTAGATTTGTTTCAGTATCTAAACTAATGACTTGTTTTCAACTGAAAACATTCTGAGGGAATTCCAATTAGTATTCGTATGGTCACTTTTTCTAAGTAAATAAAATTTTCCTAAAGGCTGTTTTTCCCAGGAGTTTTTTGTCAAAGATTCCACAGATGTGCAAAAAATGTCAAGTCTGACTTGATGAGAGTTTTATTTGAGTGCTGAGTGTTTGGCTTTTTCAAATGTCGCAATATTGAAAAATACTTAACAAAAGGTTTTCAATTTAAAGGTAGTTAAATGTCATACCAGCACAAATCGATATTTTATTGTTTCTAAACAATCTGACGCCATATAGTAGAGTAGAAATAAAATGTGCACCTTGTTCTCATAGATGATAAAGAAAGAAGCGTGAAAAACTTCATAGTCTGTAGAGAGAAAGAGGGAGAGGGAGATTATCTGACATTTGCCCTGCAACTTTAAGATTATTCGTCTCTCATCAGCACCGGTGCAAACAGAATCGCTGCCAATCCTTCTGCTATTTAATCCAAAGGACTGCAGCCAAACTCCTCCACACGGGGATGGGTAAACACCATCAGTCACCGCGTACCTTCAGAGTAAAAGCTGCTTATTTCAAGTTTTGGGAGTTAATTTTACCTGTGGAATAATCATTTATTAGATCAAGTTTACAAATTAATGATCGAGAGTTTTACTCTAGAGTGTAACTCAGTAAAAGATGATGAATCTGACTTGTTTCTACCATCACAATTTCTATATCCTAATTTAGAATAGTTTAAAATAAACGGAGACATAAACTTGGCAGTAAAAGAAGTTGAGTTCCTGTTTCCGTGTGTCTTATTTTGATGAATCGAACCGGACATTTAACTTCCTTGAGTTTCACACATCCACTCTGGCGTTTCTTTGAAGCTGGCACCTCTTGGATGCGCACAATCCGGTGGATTTGTTTTGTCACCCTTGCTGCTTGGTCTTTTTTTCTATATTTTGAAAATGAGACTTTAAATTTTAAAAGTCTTATTTGTGAAAGAAAGCGTCTCAATGTAATTTTTTTTTCACCGTACCTTCAGCTGTGGATGGAGTGATGCGCAGCGTATCGGTTTGGGAATAAAACTTGCCGTGCGTCGCCGTGACCCATCCGTGGTGTCCTCGGTTGGACAGAAACCCTTTTGGTCTGTCATGGTCCCAAAACTCCCAGAGAGTTTGCTTGGAAAACCATGGAGCACCGAAAGAGACTCTTCTGTTACATTGTCGTCGCGGCAGAGCTCTGTTTGGCTTCAGCACAAGTCCTCAGAATTGGTAAGCGCAACACCTGTTTACGCACACGAGAGAATCAGAAACACGATTACAAGTGTGTCCGAGTTTTCATATTTACCATAAGAAATGGTTTGCGATGCTGTTCAGCATCTCGTTCCATCATCAGTGAACTGAAACAATCTCAGTTTCAGATGTTTGTGTGCCGTAGCCTGCGGGACTGAGTTTCCTGTTCCACGATGTCAACATAAATCAATGATGTAGATTAAAACACGTGGAGATATGAGGTGCACGAATAAATTTAAACCGCTTAAGGGTGGAGATTTAAGGAAGCCTATTTGCAGTTTTACACATAAGCAAATATTTCAAAAGTGATTACAAGAGAGCCCCACTGATGTGGTAAATAAAGTTGTTTTCCAATGGCATTTTTGGAATTGGTTAGTATGGCCAATTCCAGGGCTGTAGGGACTCGAGTCAACACAAAAAATGGATGGAGAAAAGCAATGCCAGTTTCTCCCTCAAGCAAGTTTACACTGAAATTATGATCCCATTTAACCATCTCAATTCAGTGATAAAGGAAAGGCTGTCTTCTGTGTTTTGTTAGAAATGTGTATTGCTTCAGAATATTCCCATTGGAGAAGCTTGAACTGGGAATTGTTAAGTTCATTTCTAAACACAATTTGAGATTAATGAAATAGATTGGAATATATTAGGGGACGAATGGGGGAATGAAAGGAGGGACTCTCAAACCAAAGACTCTCAAAGAACTACTGCTTCCTTCAACTTTATTCTTTCATCATGTTTTAACACTTTTTTTTTTTTACTTTTTTTTTTTACATTGCCCTAAAATATTCGGTTTGAACATTTATGCCATCAGAAAATCACTAAACTTCTTGCTACACAAGCAGCTGAAACTAAGATTACTGTTCACTACTTATATTTTATTACTTCAGTACACCTGTGATGATTCTCAATCCCACTGTCATCATACATGTAGATAGATATAAAGAGAATCAACATAAAGCCGAAACTGGAGAAACATTCTCTCTCTTGGTTTTACTAGTTAAAAGCCTATAAGCAGCTCTTTGTTCCATCTGTACAAAATCAACTTCCAAAATGAAAATACTTTACATTTATAAAATGTGATATTGTAATACTTTCATAAAAGTACCATAATCTCAATGCTGCAAGAAATCTCAATTGAGAAGTATGGATTAGGATGATGTTGACAAAAATGTAGCAGAAATTTTACTGCTTTTTTTTTAAGTTGGGGCTACCCATTTTCAGTATTTATGGATGGTCAGAAGATTATGCATTTTAGTTTGATCAAGTCATAACATCGTGAATTTGAGCAAGACATAAGACAATTTTTACTATGAACACATAAATCAATACCAGTTTTGAACATCTGAGGACATCTGGAAGAAAATAAGTTGATACCATGTGATCTTGCTGTGTTAGATCTCTTTTTGGCATGAACAGTATTTGTGAATTTGTGGCAATGTCCAGCTGCACTTGCAGAGGATTTACGGTGTGGGGTTTAGCTCTGGGTCTCATATTAATATTCAGGGCTGTTCTGGAGCAATCCGTTCAGCTTCAACTATTCAGCTCAGACCCTTTGAGCAACACAAGTCTAGAAGTTTCCAACTCCACCACATTTGCATAACACAATCAGTATGTTTGTTTGCATATGAGGATTTGTAGAACTGCAGAGCTTCTCTGGACACATTGTTTTCAACAGAATCAGTAAGCAGCAAAAGTTGCTACATGGGTATATACTGTATATACACACAACAAAAACTACCTGCTATTTTACTTAATTTTTTCTCAAGAAATTTTGGTGAGCTTTTAGGTAGCCAGTTAGTGCATTTTGCAACACTTTGCAAATTTCGGTGCAGGATGTGTACAGAGTTTTATTTCATTGTTGCCTCCCTCAGTAATGAGGTCATTCATTATACTGATATACTGATTATAAAAAGAGAGCTATGGTATGCAACAGAATTGCTCAAATCAATCAATCAATCAATCAA